TGCCCGGTGCCTACGGTTCTCTCAAACTCGTCCGACCAGAAACATTTCCTAAACAAAGATATTCTAAGGGGTGATTTGTTTTTGAAATCTTCAATAAAATTCCGTATTCGAAAAAATGGCCCGATAGTTAAATGTCGTGTAGACCCTTCTGGAGGTTCAAGTGGGAGGTCCCACTAACAAGTAGAATTGAATTGAAAGTCTGAATCTGGACGTGTTTGTGGAGAGGTGCAGCAAGCCCAGATTGATCATCGTTTCTGCATCTCCTCATCAAACACATCCAGATTCAGGCGCTTAATCCAATCCTCTTTGCTAGTGGGACCTCGGCCTAAGTGCCTCGCTCCACTACTCGCCAAAAGGTGAGCAGCGATACACTCAACCATTTACTTTCCATTTTTCCGTTAAAACTGGAATGATACACTCACCATTCAGCCTTTTTTTTTTTTTTTTTTTTTTCGGGTGATGACCTTGAGATATCATAATTGAACTCGCCGGTTCCAAGTGATTCAGAAAATATTTTATTCTAGTCATCTGGTTGCATCTGGATTCGAAATCGGCTCTGTATTTCAACAGTTCACGCGTGTATCAACGGAGCTACCGTCTTCAATCGAATAGAACGCCCGGTAATTATCGCCGTATCTGGACTGAAAGTTGCAGCATATACAGCTCTAATAATGAACGGCGTTCTATTCGGGTGAAGACGGTAGCCGCGTTACTCGTCATTCTTACACTTCGCAATTATCGCCATTCTTACACGGGTGGAATAAACGCAAGGTCTTTTTTTTCCTCTGTATCTAGACTGAAAGTTGGTCCAGTTACCGCTGCTATGATGACCGTGCGTTCTATTCGGGGGAATACGGTACCAGTGCACCTAGACTGAAAGTTGGTCCAATTACAGCTGCTATGATGACCGTGCGTTCAATTCGGAGGAATACGGTACCAGTACAGCTAGACTGAAAGTTGGTCCAATTGTCTTTCGGGACATCTGTTAAAGTTGGAACGATACAATTACAGCTGCTATGATGACCGTGCGTTCTATTCGGGGGAATACGGTACCAGTGCAGCGAGGCCCTACTCCGCGTCGTTAATTTTGCGCCGTCATTTAAGGGATCTGTTGCTATTTTTAGAACCTGAATCTGGCTGGCAGCTGCTCGTCGAACTCGTCATCAGGTTTTCTTTCAAACATTATGGTTTTTTTTTTTTTTTTTAATAACATCATGTTTTTATCCCCTAATCTGCTGCCAGTCGGACAAGCCTCGATCCCATGACCGCAACTTTGACAGGAAGAAAAAAAAAAAAAAAAAAAAAACCCTTTGACAGGAAGGAACACTCAGTGAGACTTCGCATTTTAGTGTGATTGATTTCTGTTCGGGACTTTTTCCTTTTTACCCTCCCTCAG